CTTGAACTTAGGTTTTCCTATTCCTAATCCAACATCTTAAACACTATGTCACATTGGTAGTGTGTCCTTTAATATATAGCCATCTATCCAGGAGTCCCAAATTTCAATTAACATATCATGAAGCTTCAGGCTGTGGGAAATATGTATAGCAGAATATAACAACATTAGGAATAGTCCCTCTATCACCTTCAATAATATGTTCAAAATCATCATTCCAAAGAATTTCTATGCATAGTGAAAATAAGGTATGAAAGAGACATATCTTTTAAAAAACAAAGCAACCCTTCTAAGAAATTAAAGTGCATTTTGGCACAGCATTTTATGAGCGCTATTAACTACATAAGACATTAGCTGCATTTATTATCTCTGCTGTTCACAATTTTGACACAAGAGGGGGCACGGGTACATGTAATTTTTTTTATCTTGCTCTTCACTTTCCTTTTAAAATACATTTACATTCATAGTCTTTTTCAACATTAATTTTTTTCATTATTAAGATTAAAACTGTAATTTAACCTGCAGAAAGGGCTATGATGAATATTTGAAAGTGAACCAAGAAAAACAATGTAATGTGAACATCATTCTCTTGCAATTATTTCAGACTTTCTTGTGAATCATACTAAATGAAAGTTAAGCAAGTATCAAGGAGAGACATCAAAAGGTTTCCTTCAATCCAGAGCAAATAGGCCTCCCCACCCCCTCTGAATTCAATTGCACCCAATTCTTAGAAAATGCACGGTCAGTCCCTACAGTTTTCTTGACAAGGTTTTTCAGAAATGGTTTGCCTTTGCCACCTTCCTAAGGGTCAGAGAAAATAATTAGATTGGCCCAAAATTATCCAGCTAGATTTATGCCTAAATCTGGATTAGAACTCAAGAGTCTTCCAGTTCCTAGCTGCGGCCTTAATCACTACACCAAAATGGTCCTAATTAGGCCTTAAGAGGGAGCAATTTAAATACTGATACTGAGTGGTAAGAAAGAATCACTTTAATTGAAAAGCCAGGTATACTTCTAATAATCAGCAAATAGTCAAATCTAAAGGTTATGTTCTAAGTGTCTTATAATATGCATTGAGAAGAAAGAAAACCATCAGATTAAAAACCTCTGGAAAAACCTTGCAAAGAAATTGCAGTGACTTATCTTAGCAGTGTCCAAAAAGCAGATCTGATTGAAAAATAGAAGGACATACTGATTTCACATCCATTGTGAGATTTATGAAACAGGGCTTCTTAAAAATTGCCTGGGATGGCAGATTCTTCCTAGATTGCCTTTCAAGGCAGCACAGTGAAGTGCAGCGTGGCAACTGATAATTACCAGTCTAAAACTCACATTGATTGCTGAAGAGAGAAAGGTATCTGACCACGTGTGAGGGGTTCTGTGTCTCTAAAGTCAGGAACATGACCTTCACAGAGATGCCTGAGCTCCCCTCGCCAAGAGAATGGGGGTAAAATATTTTCCAAATCCAAAACAACCAGATAGCATTTGGGCATAATTCACTGAATTCAAATGTAAGAAGAAGGAAATAAAACACAATCAGACTTGCAGACCCAGTGTTAGTGTGGGACTGGTTAGGTCAGACTAATCAATTTCTCAGGAAGGCTAACATTAGTTTTATATATAACAAGAAAATGGACAGATTGTGAGACAGCCACAATTTTCTTAGAGTCATGTCATTTCTGGGTTGTTAAAATTACTTGGGAGGTAAATTGTGTTTAGATCCAAGGCGTGGTGTTGATATCTGAGGAAGGAGGTAGTTTTTCTGAATTTAAAAGAGGCAGTAGTTGCTTTCTTCATTTCAGTTAAATCCCTGTTTGTTCATATAGTTCTAAAATGGCCAGTTTAACTTTAATACATTTTTATACTACTTCAGCCCATTCTCAATACTATAATGCAAAAGAGAGGGAGGGAGGGAGGGAGGAAGGGAGAGAGAAAGAAGGAAAGAAAGAAAGAAAAAAAGAAAGAAAGAAGGAAATAAAGAAGGAAGGAAGGAAAGAAAGACTGATCTTAACTATTTTAAAGTTCCTTACCTGGATTGATTTGTCTCTCTAAAGGGTTATCTTACTGGTTATTTAAAAGAGAAATAGCATGAAGGTGCACAGAATTCATACTACTAATAGAGAACACAATTCAATTGCATCAATCAGCTTCTAGAACTGATACCTTCAGGACAGTCTAAAGATATATGGCTATAGTTCCGTGACAAAACAATGCTAACTATTGTCAGATCTCACACATTGTGCTAAGTGATTTGTTTGACTTGGATTTAGGGTATCATATGAAATCAGTTTCTGTGAACTAAGTTTTGTAATTATAATTCAGCATTTATATGAACTAGAGAAAAACAGCTTATTCAACTGTAATTAAAACAGTCAATTGGTTGTTGCACTATGTCTATTATCACCAGCCAATTCTAATAATATTAGGCTAGATGAATCAATGCTTAACTCAGGGTAAGATAATTTTACCTTGGAATTCAGAGAATCAGAATCTGAGTCCATCCAGAATACAGACTGAGGTCTTAAATGAAGTCATTTTTAAAGATAAAGACATCCTCAAGCCCAGCTGTTATCAGGTAAGGGTTATAGCTATGTCCTAATCAGGCCAATTCTAGAATATTTCTCAACTTCCCAATTCACCTTGCATATCTGATGTTTCCAAATTTGTTCTCCCCCTTCGTCTCATGCTGCTTAGTTCCTGGGATTTGCCATGATTGCCTTGATGGTGCCATTTAGGAAATTTAAATGGAAATATTACTGAACAGGAATGAATAATGTACTTTATAACTATGTCTCAGGGTAGAGATTCAATGTGTTGATGGAAATAAAATTATTTCGACTTATTTCTCACCAGTGTGTCCAGGATAAATAATAATCTACCTTACAGGATGGTTGTGAAGAGAGACTGAAAAGAAAGCGGCAAATGTAAGAATACTATGTAAATGTTAGCAATAAGATGGATAGCTGGATATGGGAGGGACTGACCAAGTCCCATACAAATAGCTGCTGCCTATTTATAGTGGAGAAATATGTTATGACGGTTGAACAGGCAGAGCTGATTCATTATCAAAATAATTGTTCTGAAAAATGGGAACTGCCTGTCTAAAGCAGCAGCTCCAGCTTCCAAAAAAGTTGCAACTAATGCCCTAGAAGGAGAGAAAACAAAATCTTGGTTCATTGGTTGGTTGGCAAGACTGTTCCTTTGAGAACTGTGAAAATGACATCAGAACTACTGTGTTCCATTTCCCTACTTAACACACAGCAGAGCAAGAGTCTCACTCAAGAGACAAGTGCCCTGGACTCAGCAAAACAAATATCAGCAGATTGAAAATTGCCACATTACCCCTGAAAAAGAAAAGCACTTTCATCCATTCCTCTCTCTTTGTATCCTCCTTTTTCCAATTACTAATCAATGTTGCAGATACTCCACAGACCCAAATCTTCCAGTGCTGCTTGCAAATGTCAACCCTGGGGAAAATGTTTACAAATGGGTATTCCTACTTGAACCTGCCCTTTTAAACTGTCCTTAACTTGAGTGTGTATGACCGAACAGGAAGACTGACTCACCATGGCTAAATTCTTCTAAAACAATTCAATATTCCATAATTATTGGAATATTATTTTCTCTAAGTATTGATGTTGATATACAGATAGTCCTCAAATTATTATAGTAATTGGGACCATAAATTATTATTATAGTACCCTGTTTCTCTGAAAATAAGACCTCCCTGAATAATAAGCCCAATCGGGCTTTTGGGCATATGCGCTAAAATAAGCCCTCCCCAAAAATATTGCAACACAGCAGCAGCCATGAGGTGACCATGCTCGTCGCTTCCTGCACTTCAAAAATAATAATACCTCACCAAGCGTTTGTTTCAGCGGTCAAAAGAAAATAAGACCCTGCAGTATATTCGGGAAAACACGGTAATAGTAATTTCC